CTAACGTCCAGGAGTCCCAGGCTCTCCTGGCATGGAACAGAGAACTTTCTTGGATGGCTCAACCTTTGTTAAGGGCTCTAAGTGCACTGCGTTGAGCTCTTGGCCCGATGTTTAATCCTTCAGTGTCAAATTAGCACCCTGCGTCTTAGGAAAATGCAAACAAAAGGCGTATCAGCAAAGCTGGTTGAATTGGCTTGTTTTTTTTTTTTTTTAATCAGGGACACAGCATATGCATCTTAGCAAATGGAAACAGTTGCCCGTGAGAGGAAATGCTGCTGTCCTGGCTGGCATGGACAGAGCCATGGGCTCAGTTCAGCCACACTGCTTTCCTGGCTGCAGGTATAAAGAGAGCCTTATGCGCAGGCTAGAGCCCTTTCCTGCTCCACTGTGTTGGGTAAAGAGGAGGGGTGTGGGCCCGGCAGTGCCCAGTCCACCTACTCTGAACTGTGCTGCCCCTGAACTTGCTAGGGAGGGATCTCGAAGTCACTTGCTGCTGCTCAGCAGAACTCCCACAGATTTGAACATTCTAATGGGCTTTTTGGCTGACAGATATTTGAAGGCGTGTCAGATATTTGTCAGTCCTCCCTGCACTGAAGACTTAACTTCCCTATACAGATGGCTGGGGGGGGGGGGCAGTCTTGAGAGGGGCTAGAAACATTGAAGCAACTTGCCACCTGTTTCTGTCCTCCACCAAGGAAGCAAGCCCCATGCTGCCGCCAGTTGTGCTGAGGGTTCTGGACGCAGGCTGCTCTGCGCCCAGCCTGCTGTAGTAAGCCCTTCCCAGACACTTGAGGTCTGGCACAGGTGGACAAGGGCAGAGCTGTTGAGAAGGTCATTTTGCTAATCCAATCGAGGCCTCTGGGCTGAGTTTGTGGTCTTCTGACAACCAAACTGGTGCCAGGCCTGTCGCACAGCCCGGGGCACTGACAGGATGTGGAAACTCGGGTTTTCTGTTGCCGGGTCCACAACCAGGCAGCAGCCTCTGCTCCTCTGGACAGCAGGACGGAAGAGTCTGCCGCTCACACCGGAGGTGGCCAGTACGCAGAGCGGTGGGAGGGTGGCGCGTGCCGGTCTGCTGGGAGCAGAAGGGTACCGGGGTCCTGCGCGCAAGCCATGTGGACCAGAAGCACTCTTCGCATAGGTGGGGTGCTGTCCGTGGTCCTGACATCCCATCTAGGACTTAAGAACTACAAACCTCCCAAACCTCCCAATGGGACTCTGTCTGAGGTCCAGCCTCTTTCAGTAAGTCCAGACCAGAAAAGAACAAGGGCCCCAATAGTGGGGTGGGGCAAAGCAAGGAAGTGGGCAGAAGCTTTCGAAGAAGTTCCCAAGGACTCCCAGTCTTTGTGCTGACTACTCCCCAATCTGGTGGCCGCCCAAAGAGGTATCACCTGGAAACTGGAGGGATGTGATCAAGCACACTCATTTTCATCTGGCTGGGGTCCCGTCTGCCTCTTTGTCTCCCTTCTGAGCTGCAAGTCCTGGAGCTTCAGTTTCCAGTCCTGGTACACTTGGAGCTCGCCTGGGTCGAAACCACCACTCCCAGACACCGACAAGCATAACAGGGATTCAGGTGGAGACTGAGACAGCGTAGCATCCTGGGCCTGTCACTCTCTGTGACGTTCTAGAAGGGACTGCTCCAGAAATGTCCTTATACCTTAAGATCTCTCCTCCTCCCTGTTAGCCACTTAACTAGAACCAGGCATCCTTAGGGGCTCCTAGACAATGGTTTCTCTGTCCTCTTCCACAGTCCTACCCTGAGAACAAATGCTGTGGAGTCACTCTCATTCCTGGGCTGTGTCACTTTAAGAGACTCCCCCCCCCTGTTTTCCAGGCCCCAGCTGCCCACCTGTGAAACGAGAATAGACCCACTAGATACAGGCTTCTTTTGTCCCTATTATTTCCCAGATCTGGGAATAAGTGATGGCTTTGGGGTGACATGGGGGCTCTTGTTCACACCAGGGCATCTGATGTAGGGCACTAGGCACATCCAGTTTGTATGATGAGCGAGGTATTTCAGCTCCAACTCAGAAAGGGCACCTAAAGCTTGTACTGAGGTCCCCATACAGGTTGGTCAGGTTTTCTGCAGTGCCGAGCTGTGCCTTAGGGGAACACAGGAAGCCACCACGTTTTCCTTTGCTTTCTTTTTTTTTCCTTTGCTTTCTTATACACTTTCTCCATAAACTGTTATCTTGGGGCACCTGGTGTCAACCAGTGCCCCCCAAGGAGCAGATGCATGGGGACTGGCCAGTTGCCTCGGTGGCAGGCATTCGAGTCATTCTGGTTTTGTTGTTTCAAACGAGGCTGCACTGACAGCCTTGATATCAAGTCTTTCTGGTATCCATTGTGCTGCAATCCCTGGTCTCAGCAGAGGTGGAGAAGGGAGGCCAGGAATTGTGAGGAACCTGCTAGTGCTGGCCTTCGAAGACTGTCTTCTATCTGCAGTCTGCCCCAGGCTAGACCATTGCTGAACCTGTCCTGGCTGGGGCTCAGCCAGTCTTACAGAGGAGACAGCCTTCTGCCAAGCTAGCCTAGGCTTGTCCTGAAGGTCACCACACAGGGAAGGACTAAACAGGAAACTTCTCATACCTTACCCTTCCGTCTTTTGAAACTCTTGGATTTTGCAGCCCCTTTGCCTCCTTCCCATCCATGTGGGCTGCTTGCTGGAGTGAATGAGTTCCACTTTTTATCAAAACACAGTGGGCTTAACTAGGGGGGTTGGGAGGCTCAGAATTGCTCTTCAGAGGGGAATTCAGATGAGGATGAGAGATCCAGCTCAGGGATGGGGGCCAAGTCCACCTCTTGATGGCTTGAGTCAGGGGTACATACTACCATCTGCTTGAAATCTCATCTGTTGACAGACAGACTATATCACACACACACACACACACACTCACACACCACCTGTGTACCTGTGCACAAGCTTGGACTCACCATCCCTGGCCATAGTTTCTTCTCTACTCTGTCCTTTATTCTGCCTCCCTCCTTCTCCATGAAAATGTAGATTTAGGGAGGGCCGTAGATAGGCTACCCCTATCCCTCATAAAGAATCATCCCAACTTCCTGACAAGAAACCTCAGCCTGCTTCTTTTGCCCACCCTGATGGTAATCCTGGGCACTACTGAAGGCCCCCAATGATGCATATCAGTCTCTGGATAACACAGAATCAGAGTGGGACCTGTTTTAGGTCAAACTGTCCAAGGACACAGGATTCCTATCTGTTTTGAGGTTCAAGTCTACACCTCCAGCCTCAAGCCCCTTACTCTCCTGTTTTCTGCCACTTTCTGGAGCTCCTTCCTCATGCCCAAGCATTTCCAATCCGAGCTGAGGGGAGAGTGACAGCCAGGGTGGAATAGAAGGCAAAGGACACCAGAGGCCAACACGCCCTTTGTGTCTACTGTCCAGGGTCCCCACCCAGCTTTATTCCCAGGATCTGGTCATGGCTGTCCTAACCACAAAGGTGGTGGTGGAGGGTGGCCCAGCACCTAGCTGGCCTTAGGACACTAGGGAGGGCACCCATGGGAGTTGGTACATATGTCTAACACAGGAGAAGAAAAACAAAGAAATACCAGGAGACACAGACACACAGATGGGGAGGCAGAGACAGAGGGGACAACAGAGACACTGTATGGCATGTGCTGTGCCTCCCTAAGACCAGCAACACTGAGGCTGGCCTCTCCCCAGCCTTTACTCATTTCAGCTGAGATGAGACAACTCTTCCCACAGCAGATTACTAGAGGCCCCGCCCTCTCCTGCTTTCCTGCTATTGGCTGTGTCCCTTCCTACTGCTCAGAGTCACAGATCAGGGTCCTATTGGGTCAGCCCCTGGCATGTTCTCCAGAACACCCACCCAGGCTGTTTTGGATGGGCACACTGGAAGATGCTGTGGGTGCTTCCAGCTAGGTGGGATGGTACTGAGACATTCTTCTGTGAGCTCAGCATGACCCTCCAGCTGGCAGAAGCCATAAGTGACCCTCAAGGCTATCCTGTGTGGGCAAGACTGGGATGCCCATGCAAGTTGGAAGCAGACAAGCTGGGAGTCTGGGCCACACCTGGTGAGGATCAGAAAAGAGCTCAGTCTGGGAACCTTAGGGTTAGGAACCTGTAGGCCAGTGAAGGCCTAGAGCCAATGCCTGTCTTGCTACTCTGCTTTGGCTCGGGACAGTCCCCGAAGTAGCTGTCTGCTGCCTGTGTTCAGCGAGGTGTGGTATTTCGAATGTTTTGACATTTTAAATCTGTGTTGGATACATTCGGCGTGTTTAATTCCACCATGACTCACCAAGAATTGAGTCAGTGTGTCTTCTGGGATGGGGCACAGCTGGACCCAGAGCCAGCCGAGAATGTCTTGCTGCCCTCCCTGGGCCTCCAATGGACTGAGCAAAAAGCACATGGCAGGAGCAGCTCTGGCTCCTGACCCTGGGGGTGGGGAGCATGGAACAGACCCTCTGTTCTCAAGGTCAGAGGGGATACAGCTTGGGAGGGCACACAGGACCCAAGAAAGAAACAAATCCATGACCAGCCTCTTCCGAGTTACTGACTCCAAGTCACAAGAACCTCAGAGATTTGGTTTCCCCAGATGTAGAAGGCCTGGATGGATTAGTAGGGCTACAGTTTTCCAGACGTCCGAGAGGCACCATGTGGGTGGGAAAGACTATGGAGGCATCAGTGTTAACGGTTTGCCTGCAGAGTGAGAGCCAAGGGCTCAGCCTCACTGAACAGACCATGCTATCTCCAGACCCGGGACTCAGAGCCTGGACCCTTGTCAGATCACCTTGGGTTTTACCCAGTCCCGGGAGCAGATGCTGATCACTTCCAAGCCCGTTAGAGTGGGAGCTGAGCGTGAGGAGGAGGTCCAGGGGACGGACTGACTGGTCTGGTGGACGGGCTAGGTGGGCATGGCCTTCCTAAGTTGTGAAGTACCTCCCAACCCCAGCTCCGAGTACACTGGCATGATAGTCCCCAGGTCTGGTGGATAAACGGCTTCCTCTTGCTCTCTGCAGGTTAACACCTTCATGTCCTTTGTGTTCCCCATGCTGGTCATCTCCATCCTAAACACTGTGATCGCCAACAAACTGACAGTCATGGTGCGCCAGGCCAACGAGCAAGGCGGGGTGTGCACTGTGGGCACCCAGAACAGCTCACAGCACAGCACATTCAACATGTCCATCGAACCCGGTCGCGTGCAGGCCCTGCGCCACGGAGTCCTCGTCTTACGTATGTAACCTCAGACCCTGGGGAGTAGACAGAGCTGTGGGGGCCCAACCCAGAACCAAGTAGAAAGGTGTAGGATAGAACGGGGGATAGAATGAATGTGGACTAGAACAAATGTGGGATAGAATGTGGAATAGAACATGGGATAGAACGGGGGATAGAACGTGAGATAGAACGGGGGTTAGAACATGGGATAGAATGTGGGATAGAACGGGGGATAGAATGTGGGATAGAACGGGGGGGGGGGTAGAACGTGGGATACAATGTGGCATAGAATGAATGTGGGATAGAATGTGGGCCCAAGCCCAGCCGCAGCCCTCTGCTCTCTTCACTCCCTCATACCTTCACTCACCAACCAGACGCTGGGTGCCACCACTGAAGGTGAAGTATTGCTCCAGCCCCCTTGCGGGGAATCAAGTCTCTTTCAAGTATGCAGATAACCCCAGGCACATGCACAAGTGAAGTCACATGACCAGACCGGGCAGCTGGGGACCTCCATGCGGGCAACATATAACTATTCAGGACTAGAAGGTCCTGGTAACAGAGTTGGAGGCAAAAGATATCCCAAGCAAACGCCGGGTGGTCAGACAGCACTCGCAATGATGCTGGGCAGAGGGGGTAGGCCTGAGTCCTGCAGCTGATACAACCTCAGGAAACAGTCATCCGGTGTGGTGGATGGGAGAGACTCAGGACAAAAGTCCTTTTATCCTCCAGACCTGTGTCTTGCATCTTTGCTATGGCTGTGGCTCCTTCCTGGTCCTGCCCCCTTCAGGCTTGCTTCCCAGCAGCTCCAGGTGCACATGGCAGCAAGGAGTCCCCCAGGCCAGCACCTCAGAGCCCAGAGTGGCTGGCACCCGCTCTGTGTGGGTCTAGGTGGCATTCTTCACAGATGCCCTCGCCTCTACCCAAAGACAGCATTCTCAAACACCTCCTCCCAGGGATAGATCTCAGAGCAAGCACCTCGTGTCTGCACTAACCTAATGTCTCTCAGGGTAGCTGGAAGAGTGAGTGAGGCCATGTCCTGCTTCCAAGGAGGAGCCTGAGGCTGATGGTCGAGAGGAGCATCCAAGGCCTCTAGCAGAGCTGTGTCTGGGGATGAGGGATGTCAGTGGTCAGTGCTGCCCACCAGGACGCATCTGGGCCAGGGCACCCGTCAACTGCCACAAAGGTCTATCTAGTGCCGAATACTATTCCATCGTACGGTGCTCACTTCACGGTTCAGGAGCACACATTCCTGTTGAGTGCGTGGACCACAGGACCACAGACCAGCGTGGCAGCAGCTCCACCTGTCTGTCCACTGGCTCCCAGGTCTCTTCCATTTCTGTGACTGCGAATATGGGGTGCAAGTATTTCTTTCAATTCTTTCAAGTCCATTCCCCAGATATGGGGGTACTGGGTCATGTGTAATTGTTGCTCTTATTTTTTTATCTTTAAGAATTGTTGCTTAAAACCAGTGGCTGCAACATTTAACATTCTTGCGTCTGTTTGGTTGCTTTGTGTGTATCTGCTTCGTGTGTTTGCGTGTGTGTACACACGTGTGTGGAAGCCAGGGGTTGACAGCGGGTGCCTTCCTCTTTTGCTCTCTGCCTTCTCTTTTGAGATGGTGCCTCCCACCAAACCTGGAACTCACTGATTCAGCCGTGCTAGCTTGCCCGTGAACTCTAGGTATCCACACTTCTCTCTGCATCGGTCTGCAGTCTCCTAGTACTAGGTTACAGAAACACGCTGCTGTGCCAGGTGCTTTTTACTGCCAAAAAGGAAGAAATGGAGAGAGAGAGAGAGAGAGAGAGAAGGAGAGAGAGGGAGAGAGAGAGAGGGAGAGAGAGAGGCAGAGAGAAGGAGAGAGAGAGGGAAAGAGAGGGAGAGGGAGAGAGAGAGGGAGAGAGAGAGAGGGAGAGAGGGAGAGAGAGGGAGAGAGAGAGGCAGAGAGAAGGAGAGAGATAGGGAAAGAGAGGGAGAGAGAGAGAGGGAGAGAGAGAGAGAGAGAGGGAGAGAGAGAGGCAGAGAGAGAGAGAGAGGGAGAGAGGGAGAGAGAGGAGAGAGAGGGGGAGGGAGGGAGAGGGAGGGAGGGAGGGAGAGAGAGAGAGAGAGGGAGAGGGAGAGAGGGAGAGAGGGAGAGAGAGAGGAGAGAGAGAGAGGGAGAGAGGAAGAGGGAGGGAGGGAGGGAGGGAGGGAGGGAGGGAGGGAGGGAGGGAGGGAGGAAGAGGTCCATGACCACAGGATGCATCTTTGTCTCTTGTGGCTCTCTCCATGTTTCTCAAACAAATGGCTCTGTCTGGCAGGGGCTGTTGTCATCGCCTTTGTGGTCTGCTGGCTGCCTTACCACGTACGACGACTCATGTTTTGCTATATCTCGGATGAGCAGTGGACGACGTGAGTACTTGGACTATATAGCAAACGGGGGCAGAACTGCCATGAACCCCACAACCCACAAGCTGGTCTGGAATGACGTGGAGCTTCTAGGAGCCTGTCGCCCCAGGGAGGATGGCTGTAACCCAGAGGTCAGAGCAGGTGGCAGATCTTCAAGGTCATGCCTGAGACATCTGTGTCAGACCCGAAGGTCCGTTGGGCCACAGCCACCCCAGGATTGGACTTGAGGGCTCAGCAGACTCACACAGGGTGTCGTGACTTGCCACAGCAAAGGGAGAGGAAGCAAAGTCAGGAGAGACAGACAAGTTCAACTCCCAGATGCATACAAGCCACTTGTGAGCGTCATTAACTGGGCAACTCACAGGAGACTCGGTGTCCGGGTTCTTAGAGGAGACTAGTCCAAGAGACCCCCTTCTGCTCACCCTGACCCAGGCTCCCAGAGGGAAAGTAGGTGATCAGCATGACGCCTGTTTTTACAAACAAGGCCGCTGATGATGAGAGGGTCCAGCCACTTAGCAGGCCTGCTCCATGAACTCTTTCTGCACCCAGAACACGGCTGCCGGATACGTGAGTGTCAGCACCTTGAGGGTAATAGGCACCAGTGGACAAGACACAGTTTCTGCTCAACAGGGAGATAGTAGTTAGCACAGGAACAGTCCTGTGAAGGTTTCTGAAGCTCAGGGATGTCTCGGGGAGGGCGGGGGGGGGGGGTGGACACAACACGCACAGGCGTCAGGAGCCTCAGCGGTTCCTATCTTTGCTGTGTGGTTAGGGACCAGTGGGGCCCTGGAGCTTCCGAACAGGACTCTGTGGGCAATTAAAATGTGCTACTGAGAGAAGCAGAGTAGAGCAGAGAGGCCTCCTCACCCAAGTGGGGCTGTGGTCAAAGCCGGATCCACCAGATAACCCCGGGGTAAAAGGCCCTGAGGGTTGGGGCTGGTATCCCAAGCCACCATACAAGCCCATGCCTGGTCCCTGACTTGCTGAGGACTCTGGGGGCTCTAAATGCCTGTCTCCTCCCCCACAGGTTCCTTTTCGACTTCTACCACTACTTCTACATGCTGACCAACGCCCTCTTCTACGTCAGCTCCGCCATCAACCCCATCCTCTACAACCTGGTCTCTGCCAACTTCCGCCAGGTCTTCCTGTCCACGCTGGCCTGCCTGTGTCCTGGGTGGCGGCGCCGGAAGAAGAGGCCGACATTCTCCAGGAAGCCAAACAGCATGTCCAGCAACCATGCCTTCTCTACCAGCGCCACTCGGGAGACCGTGTACTAGGCCCTAGGGAGGCTGGGCTTGAGGCCTCAGCCTGTGCTCAGGGCAACACCCTCCCAGACCTCTGGGGGTTAGCCAGGGGTCAGTCTAAATCGTGGCTGGTGAGCCCCTGGGGCACCCTGGAGAGCTTCTCTTTCCAGTTTCTCTTTCTTTTCTTCCAAATCTGCCCACCCCCCTCCTCCCAGTTCCCTATTCCTGCTCCCCATCCCCCCTCCTACCTACCATTTAAAAAGGAGAACAGAGGCTGTTTCTCTCCCTGCCCCCCATAAGGCCTCTAACAAGAAGAAATTAGCGCTCACCAAGGATAGCCTCCTTTGTTCCCGGACTAATGGATGTTTAGAAAGAAGAAACAAAAGCGCTGGGACCGGGCCCTTGGGCAGACGGGATGTTGCAAACATAACGGCACCTTGTAGCTGCACCGGACGGGCCAGACGGCGACTGAAGCTGGACTTGGGCTCAACGTCCACAGGCCAAGGCTCCATCGTAGCTTCCCCCTGCCTCCACTCCTGCCTGGTCCAGCAGATTCTGTGGCTCTCTCCGAACCTCATGCCCAGACCCTTTCCTTGGCAGGCCGGCACGTCACCTCTCCCAGAGTGCTCCAGGGAATCCTGCAACGTTCCCCTTAAGGCTCAGGGCCCACAGCCGAAAGCTGAGAGGATTCAGCTATGGCCCACTAAAGAAAGCCAAGTTCTCACACGCTTGGGAAGGACAAAAGGGCTGGCCTGAGTGCATACAGAGCTAGGACTCCCTCTGTTTCAGGCATGTCCTCGCAGGGATACTTGCACTGGGACCTTGGCCCCTTGGATCTGGAGGAGGATGGCAGATGAGTGGGGCCCAGCCTCCCCTGTCCAGGTGACTTTGGTGGGGGGGGGGGGATGCACACTCCTGTGTCTCTCACACAGCTGTACAGACTGAGGTCTGGCAGCTGCTGGCTTCAGGGCAGGGCTCCTGAGAAGGGCACTGAGCCAGGCCCTCAGCAGGATGCCAGTGTCTGAGCCTCTGCAGGTAAGGAGATGCCAATCCCCCGGCATCCAGCTGGCCAGCAGCCTGGACTGAGGCATATGCCAATTTGTTACCAGCTGCCAAGCAGCCGCCCTGGCCCAGGTTCTAGGCGCCCAGAAAAGCAGGCACCCTTCATCTCTGGGAGCTGTCTCCAAACAAGACAGAACCATCTAGCCTCCAGCCAAGAAAGTTGGCTGAGTGCTTGGAGACGGTCCCAGGATGCCCTGGACCAGCAGGGCAGGAGTAGCGGGAGAGCCAGAGAGCCAAGCTCAGCCTTTTGCAAAAGAGTCCTGGGCCCCATTGTCTGGAAAAGAAATGAATAGATGGTAACTGGTTTGCGTGAACAGTACTACCATGGGACATGGGAGGCCTAGTCACAGCCCAGGGCTAGCCTCTACTCCCTGTGGCCTATAAGACAATGGGTTGAATGTTGGGGTATGTGTGGTCCCCCAGATATAGCCACTCTGCTACTTGAACCCCACAAAACACCACTGCCAATATCATGACCTCTCGGGTAATCAAAGGCAGGGTCTGGGTGAGTCAGGCTCATGGGTGACAACAGGAAGGTATGATCATCCCAGAGGAGGCCTCTCACCCAAGAACTGTCTACATGGGAGCCCCTCCCAGCCCTGTGGAGCCATCTTGCCCAGTGAGTGGGTCACAAGCCAGTGCTTCTTCAGGAGGGTTTGGACTTATACCAGGCAGCCCAACCCCAGGCCCCTATCCTGGGTTCCCAGACCGTGGGCAAGCTGTTCTTCTGAGCCCCATTTCCTCATCTTGGGCTATCTGGGACTGTCTTGAAGTAAACACAAGTGAGATAACTCTGAGCCTCCCAGAAACGCTGTGGCTGTCACCAGAAGTCTTTGCTGTGGTAGTTAGCCTCTCGTCTGTGTGCTTGATGTAGTTAGGGACGTGTGTCCGTTCACCGCAAGATGTACCTGTGACCTTGGCTTGGTATCCTCAGCTCTGGGCCAAGTCAGGATGGAAATAGTTCTAGAGGCTGGCCTTGGTGTCCTGGGTCACAAATGCAGAGTCTCACCAGCCCCGCAGTGATGTGGACACAGGGGCTGTGCTCCCAAACTTATGTCAGAATGGTCCCCATCCCACCACACTGTAATCAAAGAACACCCCCCCATAGAGAATAAAGGAAGCTGTGAATACCCAGTTTGGGCCTTTGTGTATGCATCCGTTCACACAGCCATCCATTCATCCAACGTGCGGGCTTTTATCTGCCTCTGATAAGCTATGTGTTAGGGTTAGGGTTAGGGTTAGGGGTTAGGGTTAGCGTTAGGGTTAGGGTTAGGGGTTAGGGTTAGGGTTAGGGTTAGGGGTTAGGGTTAGGGTTAGGGGTTAGGGCTAGGGTTAGGGTTAGGATTAAGGTTAGGATTAGGGTTAGGGATACTGGCCACCTCCCTGCCCACCTTCCTGAAGAGTTAAAAGTCTCCCCCCCAACACACACTTACACATACACACACACACACACACACACACACACACACACACACACACACCTGCTGCCAGGCTTCACACTTGTTCTCAGCAGAAGCAGCTTTAATCTCTGGTTGAACTTCAAAAAACAAAATTTTATGATTTTTTTTTTAGACAATACAGTTTTCCTCAGAGCTAAGACGTCTACATCCAGAATGAGGATAAAAAAGGCAGCAGTGTTTCCTGGCTTTCACTCAAATGTCAAGTGGCCCGAGCTGAGCAGAGCTGCACTCAGATGTTAGACAGGCACCCGAAACGGTGGCAGCGGTAGTGATGACGTCAGCCATGAACACTCTCCAGTCTCACCTCTAAGAAAGGAGACTCAACCTAGAGCCAACAGGACCCCTTCCCTAAGCCTCAGGAGCTGCCATATCCTCCTGCCTATAGAGCTGACTCTCTATCCCCTTGGTTCTTTGGGCCCTCTGGGGTGAGATGCACTGTCACCAGCCTGCCTAGATTCTCTCTCTGCCTCGGGATTATAATTTAGTTTTAGTTGGCTTGCTGCTGCTGTGCTGAAACACCATGACCAAATGCAACTTGGGGAGAAAAGGGTTTATCTCACTCACAATTCCATGTAATGGTTCATCATCAAAAGCCGTGAGGGCAGGTACCTGGAAGCAGGAGCTGATGCAGAGGCCATGGAGGGGTGCAGCTCACTGACTTGTTCCGTATGGCTTGCTCAGCCTGCTTTCTTATAGAACCCGGGACCACCACCCCATGGGTGGCCCCAACCACAATGGGCTGTGCCCTCTCCCGTTGATCACTTATTAAGAAAATGCTCTATAGGCTGTCCACAGCCCTATTTTATGAAGGGATTTTTCTCAATGGACGTTTCCTCCTTTCAAATGACTGTAGTTTCTGTCAAGTTGACATGAACCTAGCCAGCACATATTCCCACACAATGCTTTCTGCCACAGAGGTAGGGACAGCCCAGAAGCTGCCTTTTAACCTGTCCAGCTCCCTCCATCTTCCAGCTTCTTTTTTTGTTTTGTTTTGTTTTTTGTTTTTTACAAGACAGGGTTTCTCTGTATTGTTTTGGAGGCTGTCAGTCCAGCCCAGCCTCGAACTCACAGAGATCTGCCTGCCTCTGCCTCCCAAGTGCTGGGATTAAAGGCATGTGCCACCACTGCCCGGCTTTCCGGCTTCTTGAGGAGAGAGAAAAGTCACCTTCTTCTTGGGTTGTGCAGTGTGGGAGACCAATGGCATGATGAGTACCTGAAGACAGGTAGAGGTGAGAATTGTGTCCACTTGCTTAAATATTGGATGGGGTTAGGCAGTTACGTGCATGTTATGTCTGGGTACACACACTTTAAATAAACTGAAGACCCAGGGCCACTGGCCACCCTGCCCAGCACCTACCTAGCTGCTTTCTGGACTGAGGTATGCCCCGCCTCATCCCTTTCCTACCCCCTCCTTTTACCAGAGTCAGGGACTCACACTCCATCCCTGCCCGGCCATCCGGGCAGAGGCAGGGCCATGTCTACTACAAAGTTCTTCCGCCAGACATGAAGAACTGTCTGCAACAGAGCCTCCAGGACCTCTTCCCCTTCTCCCAGAGTCTTCAAAGGACGTTGTATCCTCAGAAACATGTAAGTCTGCTGGCATCGGCCCCCCAGCCCTACCCTGCCCTGCAGAACCAGGAGCCCAGATCTAGGAGTCTGCTCTCCTAACAACTGCTCTAATGGGATGCTTCCTGACGTCCAAGTGTCACCATATCCTCCCCAGCCTTCCATCCATCCATCCATCCTCCATTCACTCATCCGTCCTGTCTGGCTTCCTCAGGCTGACTCCGTCCCCCCTTTCTGATGATGGCGTGAGGCTCTCACATACCGCAGAGAAGTCCTTCAACTTCCTCTCAAAGGCATGGGGAACTGGCTGGCATACAAACCCAAGAGACACAGACAGAAACACCAAAGGGATGAAACACGAGTGGTGGGATTCCAGGCTAGTCAGGAAAGTGAGATGCGGGGGAAACCAGCACGTAGCCTTGACCCTGGCTGCTTACTACTGCCCATCCCACTGAGCCTACAATCCTAGCGAAGCCCCTCCCAGCTCTGATTCATGTGAGTTGTGTCTCCCATTCTGTGACCTGGACAGAGGAGGAGACTGCCAGCTCCATCACCATTGCTAGGCAACAGGGCAGGGCTAGGGAGCGAATCCTACGTTCTAAACACATTTGAAAGAAGAAAGAAAGCCAAGCTTCCTGTGTCTGTGACGCTCCCCTCCCCAGTCCTCCCTTCCCCCACCACTCCTTGCAATTATGATCTGAATTCCAGTTTTTATCAAAACACCATGGAAACGATGTCCAGGCTGAGTTAATGAAAGAATGATGATGCCTGGAAGGAGGGGGCAGGGAACCCGAGTCAGAGGAACAGGAAAGGAGCAAGCAAGAGGCAGACAGAGGCAGAGAGGACAGAGGTGGGCTGCCCTGGGATAGAGGAGGCTGTTGGCACCTGCTAAGTAAGTGAAAAAGCCTCTTCAGCACAGGAACATGCACACACACACATACACATACACTACACCATGCACACACACATACACACTAATCACACTCATACTCAGTAGAAACATGTACACACACCATGCATACTCATACACACATAGAAACATGTGTGCACGCGCACACACACACCATGCACACACACATACACCAAGCACATATACACCATTCACACTCATACACACATAGAAACATGTACACACACATACACCATGCACACACACACCATGCACACATACACACCATACACACGTAGAAACATGTACACACACCATGCACACTCACATAGAAACATATACACACACACCATACATCTTCATACACACATAGAAACATGTAACACACCATGTGCATATACACCATGCACACTCAGACACACAGAAACATGTACACACACACCATGCACACTCAGACACATAGAAACATGTACACAAACACCATGCACACTCCTACAGTCACATAGAAACATATGCACACACACCATACACCTTCATACACACATAGAAACATGTAACACACCAAGTATAAACACACCATGCACACACACTCACACACATGTAGAAACATGTACACACACACCCCATGCACACTCACACACACATAAAAACATGTACACACACCAGCTGTGCATACTGGGTGAGAATACATATTTACATGAAAAGCCTAACTACACCATATGCAGATGAGAGTGCACACACATAAATTCACACACCATACACACCAACATGGGTATATACCCGATGTACACATATGCACACATGTATACACACCTGTCCTGTGCATGGCCTTCTGTCCACCTCATTCCTCAGGTCTGAGATACTTGCTGTTTCCGGTCTTGCTGGTCCACTAATGAGATCATCAGAATCTGTTCTGGGGTGTCTGGGAAACCCCTAGCCAGGCCCAGAAGTACCAGATTCCCAGGGCTTGAAGCAAAACCTCCCTTAGCTTAGCCCTCAGTCTGGCTGAGGACCAGGTGACAGCTAGGTCGGATCCTCAATAAGAGGGAAGGAAGCCCAGCTCCTGACATGAACTTCCCTGTGGGCCTCACACCTGTAGGCAGAGGGTGCCTGAAGAAAACCCACATGCTTGACTGCAGTCCCTCAGTACAGACCACTGGCCAGCTACCCAGAGAGGCGCTAGTCTCTACCCCTGCATAGGGTACCTCCCTACCCTCCCCTTCCCCACTTCTTTCTTCCTGGGGAATAAATAAATAAACAAAGTTCAAACCCTGGTCTCAGAGGTATCTGCTGCAGGAAAACGAGGCAGAAATGATCCACACAGCCACAAAGGCAGCCGTGTGAGGATGAGGTGGGGGGCAGCTCCAGGGACCCCACCCACCCAGATACTGGCCTGAGGTGAAAGCAGAGAGAGAGGTGAGGAGTGAATGGAAAAGATAGAAGGGAGCGAGAAACAGTTAAGGCAGAAGAGAAAGAGCCAGAATCCAGCCGGGAGGAGAGTGGGAAAAACTACCTGGGGATTGACCTGGGGGAGGTTCATGGAGGGCTTCCTGGAGGCCAGCAGAGGGAGGGCTCCTACAATCACCCAGGATTCTTCTGCCTCCAAGACTAGCCTCTCCTGCAGGGCATCAGAGTCTTGGGTCTCACGGTCTGGGTTCAACCTTCAGGACCTCCAGGAATCACTCCACCTGCATATTGTAAAAGCACAAAATGGTAAGGCACTAATTAAGCTCTGTGTAGATACCCTCACAACAAAAACATTCTCTCTTTTATCACTTCTGGGCCTTTTACTGATGGGGAAACTGAGGCTTAGAAAAGGGCTGGAGAGATGGCTCAGTGGTTAAGAGTGTTGACTGCTCTTCCAGAGGTCCTGGGTTCAATTCCCAGCAAACACATGGTGGCTCACAACCATCTGTGATGAGATCTAGTGCCCTGTTCTGTCATGCAAGGGTACATGCAGGCAGAACACTGTATACATAATAAATAAATAAATCATTAAAGGAAAGAAAGAAAGAAGGAAAGAGAGAAAGAAAGAAAGAAAGAAAGAAAGAAAGAAAGAAAGAAAGAAAGAAAGAAAGAAAGAAAGGAAGAAAGAAAGGAAGGAAGAAAGAAAAGGGAATTGACTGACCCAGGCTACCAGAGATGACGGTACTAGGCCAAGGACTAAAACCAGGGTCCTTCTCCCCACCTAGACGGGAGCTGGGTCTGAATATGCACAC